TAAAGTACCTATGGCTCCAAAAGTCACTGCTGTGATGCAGAGGAGGTGTGGGGAGGTCAAGGTACTCCCACCTGATATGTGCTGAGTGCCAGTTTAACAGCTGGACTCAATGATCTTAAAGGTCTTTTCCAATCTAAATAATTCCATGATTCTATGTAAGCATCAGAATGCTTAAGTCCTTAAAGACAGGTTTGTTGAAACACATGGAGGTGCCAGTGCAGAGGATGGTGGGAGCAGAGCCAAATTACCACAAGCTTTGGTGACAGGTCTTTGCCTCCAGAGTGTGTGTGAGATTTGGGCACAGTGCAGCCTGGTGGGGTGGTGTCCTGTCCCCTCTGGGTATCCCACTGTTGCTTGCAGCATCTCCTTTGCCAGACCAGCTGCAGGCAGGATTTTTCTGAGGGGGCTGAGCTTATGCTAACATGAGCCTGTCAGTGGGCTGGAGAGTTATAGCACATGCAGTATTTCGATTCTTGCTTCTACTCTACATCTATTAAACCACTGCTCAATTATCAGTGATTTAGACTGCAATGTTTGCTGGACAGCTTCTGTCCTTTGTGCTGTGATTGCAGCTCTCCATTTCACTATTAAGTTCCTGGACAGAACTCTTCCCTCTCCACTGCCAGTGGTGGCATGCTGCTTCCCCAGATTTGGTGTGGTTTGTATGGAAGTGGAGGGTTTGGAGCCAAGGCCAGCACTTAGACCCCAGCCCTGCTCCTGCTGTCTGGGCTCAGCTTTGCCAGGGGAGTGACCCTTATACAGAGAAAGTTGTTGGGATGAGCATAAAGTACTTTGGCTGCAGAACAGTCTGTGCTGCTCTCAGCAGGTTCCTGCCTTTGCATCTCCACTTCACCTGACCCTTGTTCCATAGTCCTGTAATTATAAACCAAATATTTACATTTTTTAGAGTCCATCTTCTCATCTCAGGTTAGGGGAAAGTGGTCCTATTCCCTGGGCAGGTTCAAGACTGCCCATCTGTAGGCTGCTCTGAACAATAGGAGCAGGTCCTAAAGGGCTGGAGGGGTAATAGCTTCTGCTGATTGCTCACTGCATGACATCCCCAGATCCCTGGCTAGGTCCATCAAAGCAGCTCATCTCCTCCCTATGCCCCCTGCTGCCATTCATGATCCTGCCTGACATTTCTGGGAAGAGGAATTTCATAGAATCTTACAATGGTTTAGGTTGGAAGGGACCCTAAAGTTCATTTGTGTCCAGCCCCCCCTGCCAGGGACAGCTGTGTCACCTGATAGATCAGGTTGCTCATTTAGACCAAATTTGCTCCTACGTGTCACTCCAGTGGTGGGCTGGCCTGGCTCGCTGCACACCTCCTCTATCCCTGCTGTGCCCTGGGGCAGTTTTTGGGGTCCGTGCTTCCTGGGAAGGGCTGTTAGACTTGCTGCAGAAGCTGCCCCCTGCCACAGGGGCTCCTGGGTGCCTTTCAGAGCATCCAGGCAACCTGCTGTGCCCCTCAGAACACCAACGGGGTGCCTGTCTGCTGTCATAGCCCCACTGTTCTGGCAGAGAATGTGCAGCAGTGGTACACGGGGATATGACCTCTGCCTGCCTCTGCCCCCTCAGTGGATGAGGTTGTGGGATGAGGCATCTCTGAACCTGGCCATTCTCCTCTGTACAGGGCCAGGAGGAAGTTTTGAGCCAAGCCTGGAGCACAGCCCTGCTGTAGGCTGCAGTAAAAGATTACAAGCTTTAAATGAGGCCAACCTGTGCTATAAAGCTGTCACTGCTAATGGAGACCATCTCTGCTCTGAGTGGCTCTGGAAGTCCCCTTTCCATGCCGTGGCTGGAAGAGCTGGAGCTGAACAGAGTGGAGACAGAGTGAAGACATATTACACAGTATGGTAAAGTTAAAAAACTCACTACTGAGCAGAACAGTCAGCCTTTTCCTACGTTTCCAGCTGGATCTCTCTGAGCATCTTGTGTCTAAGAGAGCACACGATTCCTCCACCCCCACATGGCCAGGCAGGACAAAGCACTTGGTAGAAGGGCGAAAGAGCATGATACATCATAAATATTAGTGCCTGGCCCCTTGCCAGTCCTAAGCAGAGAAATCATCCCAGCCATTAATCTGTGCGTGCAAGCTGCATCTGGCAAAGTGATGCTTAATGTTGCCCATGTTAACTTATGTCTCACTGTTGCAATTCATGCTTGCTTTAACAAAAAAAACCCTAAAATTTCAAAAAATTAAAACAAAAACGGTACTTGGTGCTTTCTGGGTCAGATTTCTTAGTGAGTATTTCCTGGGGGAAACACAGGGCATAGCATGGACCAGTGTGATGGGGTGAGCCAAACATGGGAAGCCGCTAATGAAGGGCAGGATGGAGAACCCAGGGTGTTTGTGTATGTAAACTGTGTGTCTCCATGCTGGGCTTCTTGTGGCTCTGGCATCCCTGCCTGGCACTGCAGCTGTGCTCAGCTCCCTGCTCAGCCAAGGCTTCTGGGGACAGCTGGCTGGGCAGCATGCTCTGGGTTGCACAGGGACCCTCCAGAGCCTTTCACCCATTGAGGTGCTGGGGCAGGCAGGGTTGGAATTGGAGCCTCCTCCAGCTCCTTTCATTCTCCATTGTGATTAATTGCAGTTGGTGTTCATCTGTAATTTTAGAGAACAATAGGATGACGTGCCTCAGTTAATTGAAACCTGATGAGGCGTCATACGGCTGCTGTGCACTAGGGTGAGTGGTGCTGGGATGCCTCTGGGAATCCCATCCCTTCTTCCCAGCCTCAGCAGTACCTTATAGGGCTCAGGCTCCCCACATTTCCATGGAGCTGAGCTTGTGCTGTAAATCCAAGGTCTTCTTGTCCTGGGATTTTGTGACCAGTCTGGGTATTCTCAAGTGTGGTAATGTTTAGGATTTGGGGGCTTGCCCCACTGTAGTTTGGGCCACTGAAGAGGTTTGGTGCATTTGGTATACATGTTTTGTTCCCCATTGCAGAAATCCACTGCTCTGCTGATTCATATAACTTGAGTTGCACTGGGCATTTCTGAGGCAGTTCAGAAGGCTGGGGGAAATTGCTTTCAGGTCAAGACCTGCTTTAGCCTGTGGTGAATTACTGTGCCTGGGGTTTAAATCTTTGCAAACAGAGGATTATGTTGATGGTAAATACTAGGTAGGCCTGAGGTTTGCCGTACTGACGGCTGAAGGGAGCATGGCCTTTCCCTTTAGCAGATAGAGCATAATGGATGTTAAAAAAATAAATTGAGATACAGCCCAAGTTGTAGCTTAGATACTATTTCTCCTTGATTTATATTTCTGCTTGGGTGCTTCACAGTGTAAGCAGTATATTTCTTGCTTAACCTCACAGGGCCTTTTTGTTCTTAAATGAGGACAATGTGGTAGGTATGACCAACTGCCAAGAGTCTCAGATTAGTGCAAGATCTGCAAAAAATTCAGAGCTGCTGTACAGCCCAGCATCTGCTTGAAACACAAACACCAAGCAATGAACACTCAAAAATGCAAAACTGCACTCCTGTGCTGGGGGATAACTGCTGGTGCCTGGCTGCTCTTGGTGCCTCTGGGTCTCTAGTCCCATGGTGGCTTTGGGGGCTGAAAACAGAGCAATTGCCTCCTGCTCTCAGCAGCCAGGTGTAGCCAGCAGCCTGTCCCGAGCACAACAGGGTGAGGGGATGAGAAACCATGGTAGTGGGAAAGCTGGAGCATGGCACTGCCCCAGCAACAGCAGCCTGATGGGAAGCCCTGCCTGCAGGTACTGAGCAGGAGGAAGGATAAAGGTTTGGTTTGCTAATTACTCTGGAAGTGGTGGTGACAGGCAGGTCTAGCCTGCAGAGAGCTGTAAGGACACCTGTGCATGATGAGTGGGACCGAAACAGGTTAACACAGTCTTACAATCCAATTAGTGCCAAGTGCTAAGCAAGCTGGCCAATTTGCTCTTGGCTTTTATAACACGTATAAATAGAGGGGCATTACATAATGCCCTGGGGATAGTTCCATTCACAATCCCTGAGAAGGGCTGTGCTGGCCTGGCCAGAAGATGACCATGGCTTTGCTTGTGGCTGGGAGATCCCATCTGATGGCTTGATCTCTTGTAGTGTTTGCACTTGCTGCATTGCACTTGGCCTGCTGCAATCCATGCAGCATCCTCAGATCTGCCTGGGATGAGCAGTCTCGTCAAGGCACATCTTCTGCACACTCTCCCAAGCAGCATCTCCGTCTTTCAGTCCTGTGTGCTGCAGAGGAGACTGGGACAAATTTGGGCAGGAACCTGACTCTGTTAATGATCTCAGGCTGAGCCTTGAGAATTATGTCCTCCAGCCTTTTCTTGCTCTTAACGTCTCACTGCAAGTGGAAGATGCTTCCATGTCTTCACAGGCCCCCTTGCCTCTGGGAGGGTAACACCAGCAATAATAAAGTCTTCCTGGCTGCTGCAGATCACCAGAAGTTCTGTGCAGGCAGAGGGCTGTAATCTCTTCCTCAGCAAAGCCCATGGCAAGCTGCTGGGAGCTAATGGGTTTGTGCAGGTCATACTGGAGGTGTCATGTGGTGAACAGATGTTGTCCATGATGGGAATTGCTTTGGTATGTTGGACCAGGGATGGATGCTCTCTGGGCTGGAGGTGGGAAACACTCATGGAGTTGGTAGCTGAAAGTAAACATGGGGTTTTGTGGGGCTGGCACTACAGAAGCACTTCCAGAAAGGGAGAGAGGCTGGGTTGAAGCTATGTCTTGCTTTTGTCAGTTATATGGAAAACCAGTTTTCTGGAAGAAAGGAGAGAATGAATAGAAGCAGGGGGTCACTAGAAATAATTTCTGAAGTAAACATACAGTGGTAAATGCTTCATGATGGTTGAAGTTTGTTTGCTTCATGCAGAGGTTGCAGCTGGATTGTGTTTTCTCTGAGTTGGTCGAGTCTTGCCCATGGAGCAGACTGCACCAAATCCTCATTGGGTTCAGTTCCTCCAGTAGCTGCTGGTAATCACAGGTTACAGTTTTGTTTTATACTGCTGACTTTTCCTCTTTGTGCTTTCAGAAATAACACAGATCATCCAGGTAGACTTGGACCTGAAGTACAAGACCAACATCCAAGACCTGTTTGATGAGTTTGACAACTTCCCGGAGGGAGCAGTCATTGGGATTGCCAGGGAAATGCAGCCAGTGTACAGGTACAGCCCCCTCCCTGTGGGGAGCAGGGAGTGGGCAATGGGTGGCTGGTGGCTTCTGTTCAACTCAGGTTGCTCTTCAGAAAAAAATCCTAGGGAGCAGAGGTCTCCCTGCTTTAATCCTGCAGAGGGACTTAATGTGAAACTTGTAAGTTTTTATGAACAAAGTGTACAGTGTTGCTGTGGTTTGTTTGCTTGTTCTCACACACCATCACAAGACTTCCAGAGCCAGATTCTTGATAAGCAGTGCCAAAATACATGCCTGGATCATCTAGAGGCATGTTTGCCCAGCCAGGCCTGCTGAGGTGCTGTAATTGTTTGTGTGCTGGCACTCAGAAGTTTTGGCTGAGAGTATTGCAGAGAGTAGCGATTGAGTTTGGGCAGCAGTGAGGTTCTGGGCCCCTGGAGTGTCAGTGCAGTGCAGCAGGGAAGGCTAAATGGTCATCTCTTGCTGGCCTGGGCAAGCATGAGGGTGGCCTCATGGTTCCTTGCTCTTCAGACCCAAGTTCCACCAGCCACTGATGACTGTGCTGGAAACCACTCATGAAGGGGTGGCTCAGTCTTTCCCACTCATGGACCACTGGTGGGATTCAGGGACACGGATATTTCTAGGTGCTTAGAGAAATTGGTTTAGTTTAGCCTTCATTGTTCCAAGGATGGACCTCAGGTTTTCTTTTAATCCAGGGTAAATCAGATGATCATCCCAGGATGCCTTAATGGATTTTAGCAGAGCTGAGTTTGAGCATCTGAGATGACTTGGCTAGATTTTCTAATCCTAATGGAAAAGTTCTTGGAGAAAGATAAAAAAAGTGTAAGAGGTCTGTATGTCTTTTCCTTCCCTACTGGAAGCCTACTTCCCTACTGAGCCTTGTAAGACATGACCAGCAGCACTCCTGGACAAAGGCTGAGCTGCAAAGGTCTGGACCAGCCTTTTTTGCTGCTTGTGCATCCAGATGAGAAGGGGGTAGAAACAGAAAGAAGTTCATCAACAGGGGACTGATGGTCGTTAATCACCACCAATTGCTCCCTGGAAACCTAAACCATATGAGAGAATGTGATTGCTCAAACTGCAGAAGTCACCACTATTCCTGAGCTGGAAAAAAGACATCTCTCTCTCTGTGGCATAAGTGTTGCCTCTCTCCTGATTTGTAGTGTTGACAGGAAGAGTTGGGACTAGAGGAACACGGATGCGTAGGTCTTGTCTCCATAGGATGGCACCATGCTCAGAGAGTAGAGGGCTACTGTATCTGCTTTGGGTGTCCTGACAGGATTTTGGTGCCCAGAATGGCAAATCCAGCCCCAGTTAATCATATCCAATTGTTAGAGCTTAAAGGGGGTTGGAAGGAAGAGCTGCAGCCAAGAGTGGCCACAGGGCTATGGGACTGTGGCCTCGGTTGGCCTGGCAGGGCAGATCCCTGTCGTTAGCGGTGCAGCCTGGAACAGGGTAAATCAAGCATTCATTTGCCTGCAGTTAGTGCAGGGTGGAATCACTTTGTTTTTGTCTCTGCAGGGTTTTGCATTATTTCAGTGCATAACTAGGGAGTGGGGATGGTGATCTGCTGCCTGGATGTGGTTTGTGGGGCCGGGCGTGCCTGGAGGGGACTGAATTAAGGTTTGGGGTGCTCTGCTGGAGAGCCTTTCAGCATGGCAGGGGACAAGGCACGGGATCATGGGGCTGAGCACTGAATACCTGACCCAAGCCATAGCCATGTTCTCTCCCTCCTGCCACCCGCAGTGGGGACAAACATGCCAAGCAGTAACAGCCCTCATAGGCTGCATTTTTGGGCTGAACTTTCTGTTGTTGAAGTTTTGACGTTCTGGGTCACTTTGGGCTATGTTGTGCTTTTCTTCTTGTGTTGTTTTGATCTTCATGTGAAAACAAGTTCCTGATCCTTCTTGTCGCCAGATCACCCGTTGTGGGGCGAGCTGTGCAAACTCCGGCCTGCCCTCCTGCCAAGCCCTGCACCCTGTGGGGCTTGCACCTCACTGCTAAAAGGATTTCCAGACACAAACATGAGCTGACAAAGCATGGATGTCTTTGTAAAAAAAACTAAATCTTTACTATTTTTATATTTTAGAAAAATAAGAACATGTTGTAGGTGTAAAATAAGAGGTGTCAGCTCCAGCTGTGTTGTTTGCCATGTGTGCAGACTTGAAGCATTAGTTGGGAAAATGGTTGTGGGGAGGGAAGAGGATTACGGGGTGACAGTGGGGTATTTGTTGCCACTTATGTTTTCCTCACCATTTCACACAGCTCTCTGCAGCACTAGCTTTGCTCCAAAGCATCAGAGGACCTGAGCTGTCCTGAGCTTGCTCATGGACCTGTGGACTCAATTACCTGGGGCAGGGTAAGCCCCATAGGAAAGATGGATGGAGATCAGTCCACCATCTGTTTCTATCAGCTGCCCATTGGCTACCTGGCTGTGGGCTGCACTTTCTAGGCACAGGCTGGGGCTGCAGAAGGCTCAGGCTGCTTTGCTGGTGCAACAAGCAGCACTGGGTACAGACATTCACGGGAAACAAGAGTAAGAGAACAGCAAATCGGAAACATCCCGGAGCCTGTCTGCATATCCTGAAGGTAGGGGAAACCTCCAGACAGCAAAACAGGATGGCACGGGAGTGTTTCCACTCGCTTGACTCATGCTGAAACAATGCCTGGCCACTGTTTGTCTTGGACAAACACATTTCTCTGAGCAACAGGATCTCCTGGCCCTCCTGCTAGGCCAGTGCTGGGATTTAACTGTTGCATAGTCTGGGGTTGGCCTGTCCTTTGGGGGCATTCAGGGTGAGTTGGAGTGGCCTGTGGAGAGCAGTAGCTTCTGCTGAAGCTGGGTATGGATCACCCTGCAGTGTCTGGCAGGAAGTCCTGGATGCAGGGGGGAGGTGGCAGGAGCCCATGTCATGTGCAGGAAGTGATCTGAGGTCTGAGGCCATCAGCATCAGGTTTCCATCTCTCCAGCCACAGCAGGGAAAAGAGGCACCCTGTCCATGGATCAGGTGTGTTGTCCTTCCTGTGGCTTTTGGATCCAATGTGGGACATGGGCTATGGTCAACGCCTCTGTGGAGAGGGTTGCAGGCAGAGCTTCATCCCACAAGAAGCTCTCCCTATGGTGGGGTTGTTGAGGACCCTGGTACTGTGCAGCAGCCTCCTAGATGCTTGTGGGTTTTCTGTGGCAGCACTGGATTCCTCCTGCCAGGCTGTTTGAATATCGGTCTGCAGAAGAGCCTCTTCCCAGGCTGACTTATGCCTACTCATGTATATACTTGCAGAGGGTACACACTGTGGCCAAGATCAGGAGCTCTGGCTTCAGTGGGACTGATTTTGATGTAAAGATTAGATTCTGCATCTGAAGTTTGCATCATCCAAAAGGCTTTCCATGCAAGAAGGTGCTTCTTCAGAGTCATAACGTTAATTAATAGGCCTTAATTAATAGGCCTGTTGTCCCCTGCAGCAGTTGTGCTGGCCAGTGCTGCTCACCAGGCTACACAGAGTGATAATGGTCTGTATAAATATTTATGTTGCACTGAGCCTTCCGTGCCAGATCTTGGTCAAATTAAGAAGTCCAGGCTCTCTGGTGCTCATAAGCCTTGCTAAGAAACATGCAGAGAAGCATTGCAGATGCAGCCTGCATGGGAGTGACCAGATGAGTAGGCAGGTCACTGTCCTTGGGGGGTGTGTGGGAACATGCCGGACCTGTGGAGCAGCTCAGCTGTGTTCCCAGCAGTGTAGCTGGGCTATGGTTGGTGATGGAAGCATGGCCTGCTGCCCCTCAGCCTCCTGGCCAGCTGTGAGCAGTGGGGCTGCATCTGGGGCATACCAGGATCTCCATCAAGGCACCATGATGGCATCCTCACACCAGAGTAGCCCAGACCTACCTGTGCCTCTCTGCCAGCCTGGCTTGACTCAGCACTTGTTCCTGGACACAGGAACTCAGTGCTGCCAGGTGCAAAAGGGATAGGACTCCTCATTTCAAAGCAGCCCTGTGGTTGAGAGGAATAGAATGGAGAAATACTGCGGCACTCCCCAAAAAGTCCTGAAAGCTCTCATGTTACTAAAGGCAGAGCTTAAGCCCTATTCTTACTATGTTTCCTGGTTATAGATCCCTCCAGTCACACTGGTGGCATGTGAGAGGAGGCAGAGCAGTGATATCGATTGCACAGCTGCTCTCGGCAGCCTTGGCCTGACCCCGGGCCCGTGTGCCACACCATGCTCCCTGCTCCCATCCCCACAACCATCCCAGCCTCCTCTCTGCCTAAGCAGTGCTGCTGCTGGCACTGGTAGTGGGCTCTGTGTGCCCACCAGTGAGCCAGCACCACCTAGGGCCCTCAGCACTGCCCCCATCATGCTCCTCTTGGATGTGTTCTTGGGAAGGAATAGTCTGCTGGCAACAGGGAGGACCTAACCCACAGGTCTTCAGATGGGTGCTTTTACCCTCTCCAGGTTGGAGGAAGATACCTGCTGTGAAGATGGACCTCAGAAGAAGGCTCAGAGCTTCACAGGTCCAAGAATGCACACAGCTGGGGCTGGAAGGGTGGCTGCTGCCTCCAGTTCTGCGTTGGGTGAGATCTTTACTGCTGTCCCTGTGTCAAAAAGCTAATTAAAGCTTGAGGCATCTTGGGAATCCAGTGTTGGAAATGATAAAATTTGTCCAGTAGGAAAGGATATCTACATCAAAGGGGCAGCTACAGACTACAAAGGGCTGACACTTGGATCCCTGTGTGGCTGCAAGGCCATTCGCCTTTTCCTCTGCCTAAAATGTAGGGAGAACTCAAACAGGACATTATTTTGTAGAAAGGAAAAGCTTTGTTTCTGCTTGTGATCATGTGGGAGGTGCTGTTAGTGTGCTGTGGGCTCAGTGACACACATTTTGTTTGTTTGAGAGCTGCTGAAATGACCCAGAGAAGCCCATTAATGGGTGGAAGCAGAACTGTGCAGCTCCAGCCGTGGAGCCGCAGCACTTGCAGTGCTGGGTGTTTGCTGGAACCTCAACAGTACTGGCCCT